CCCTCGGCCTTGGCGCTCTGGCCAGCCACTCCGGGGGTGGCGGATTTCCTCGCCGCCGGATTACCGCAGATCTACGGATCTGTGGCTTCCTGGCTCACCCCACCTTATCTCTACTTAATCATCAACGGCATAATAATCTCCATTGCTGCCGCCTCCCGGTACCAGAAAACTTTCGTCGACAACCAGCAGACGGATTTTCCCGTCGAGGAAGCCGATTTGCAAGCCGGAGTACTCGATCCGCCAAACGGCGGAGATGGTTCCATGAGCTTGTCGGAGACGGAGGAAACGGAGAAAGATGAGTTCGTGATTTCGAGCTTCAGCTGGTCTCCGAGGAGAGGGGAAAGCAAGGAACCACAGGTGAAATCCATCGGAAACAGCTTGGTCGAAGATAAGCCCCTTGTCACCGTCCGGCTTGGCCGCCGAAGGAGCATTAAGACCAGCCCCGAAGGTTCGAACCGAATCCCTAATTTCATCGGTTGTTTTTTTTCGTTTTTTTTTAATTGTCTAAATTTAAAATTATCAAAGAGCTTTTAATGGCACGATTCTCAAAGCACTAGTCATAAGTCTTTGCGCTTTAAAATTCGGAACACCCGTGTCCCAATGTCATGGAAAAATATTACATCGGCACTATTAACGTAGAGTTACGTACGGAGTCAATTAATTTATGATCACGTAACATAAGAGAATGTTCTTCTTTTGTTATTCATCATTATTCAGGTGTTATTGTGGTAGTATTGATGTGTTATTGTATTATTATAACACCGGGAATATTCACAGAATAAAACACAATAATATATGAATATCAACACAAGAGCACCTAAATAATACGGAGTAATATAAAGAGAATATTCCCGCCAAAACGAATTTTTTTATTTTTCTGTCATCTCCAAGTGACATTATTTCATTAGACTTCGAGCGTAGCTCTACATTAAAGAGTCATGGTGTAATATTTTTATTAGTGTCATTCATGTGTGAAAATTGTTGCTTAAGAATTTAACTTTTAAATCATTATTTTTTTTTTAATTTATGGTTCATCTGAAAAAAATTTAATAAATAAATAAAGATAGCAATCATCTATATTCTAGTTTATTTTTGTTCGAATTAAAAATAATTAAGGATATATTGATAAGACTTGGGAATTATTTGGTAAAATGTGGCAGGTAAGGCATTAGGAGTGGCGAGGCCGCGGAAGCATGAGACGCTGGAGAGCACCTGGCGAGCCCTCACCGAAGGCCGAGCGGTGCCCCTCGCCCGACACCTGAAGAAGTCCGACACGTGGGCCACGCATGCTCGTGCGGCCGTCACCGTGGAACCCTCGACGCCGCCGGCGAAACACAACATGGAGAAATTCGAGACATTTAGTGCTCGCTCCACAGCCGCCGATAGCTCGCCGCCACCGTCCTCCGGCGTTGGTTGCTCGTCTCCTGTGACAAGGCTCCGGCGAGAATCGTCTATGGGACATGATGATATAAACCGCCGTGTGGAGGCATTCATCAAGAAATTTAACGAGGACATGCGGCTCCAGAGGCAGGAATCCCTGCGAAAGTACAAAGATATGATCAACCGAGGCAGCCATTAAAGAAAAAAACTTGAGGCGAGCTGTTGATCAAGACAATGGCTCTAGGGTTTGGTTGTAATTGTTTATCTGCTAATTTTATTTGCCTCTGTTCTCGACGTTGATCCAGATGCTGATGGATGTAAATTTTAGAATTTTTGGATAGACTCTTTTGGAAGGATGTTTTAAAGTCTTTTAATATGTAAGTCTGGATGAAATCATCAGTGGAGAGTTCTCTATCAATATTTTTGTAGGAGATGGTAGAGATGGAGATTGGTGAAAGTTTGCAACTTTTGTAAGGTTTTGCAGTTTAATTGTTCTCTACTTGTAATTAATTTGCTGTTATTTTCCCATCATACAATATGGTTGGTCTGGTTTAGTGTTGCATATTTAGAATGTTATGTGAAATAAAGTTATCGTATTCTAGTCGAGATGTGGAATTTCTTTTACAATGTATTGATTATGATCCATTATTATATCTCATTGATTTATGTAGCACAAGATATTTCATCAGCACATTGTTTCTTACTAAAAAATGTATTGATTATGATCCATTTTTATATGTCATTGATTTATATAGCACAAGATATTTCATCATATTGTATTCTAGTCGAGATGTGGAATTTCTTTTACAAATGTATTGATTATGGTCCATTATTATATGTCAATTGATTTATATAGCACAAGATATTTCATCAGCACATTGTTTCTTACTAAAAAATGTATTGATTATGATCCATTTTTATATGTCATTGATTTATATAGCACAAGATATTTCATCAACACATTGTTTCTTACTAAACTTTAAATATTTTGATATGTTAAATTTATCATGAGCAAATCAGGGACACGATAGCATTAAAAGAAGCCTTAACTTAAATTGATAAGTTATTTCAGTATAGGGCTCATATTGTGTCAAGGTGGAAATTAAAGAAACATAAGCCGGTTTTTAAACTGCCTTATTCATGGTTAAGCTTCATTGGAGACTTTTATGTTACATGTGATTCCCAAAATAGTGCTACATTGTTAATATTATTAAGTTTATGCATCTAATTAGCGTGATTGTCATGGTCAAAATTAAGAGATATTAAAGCCATCCTTTTTTTTTTGTAAATATGAAAGCCAATATAAAAGTCGCTTTCTCTTAGAATTTGTTTGGGGCAATTACAGCCTATTAATAAACTTTAATAAGCTGGTAATAAGCAGCTACTTCAGAAAACTGCTGATAAGCAGTTGTTGGGGATAAATTGATTAGTTGTTTAGTTTGTGTTGTTGGAAAACAACTAGCTTGCATTTGTTTTTGGACAAATGATTATTATGCCCATGTGTAGTAATATAACAATTTTGTTTGCAACAGAACAGTCATAGTAATATATTTGATATTTGAGAAGTATAAATCAATTTCAGAACAATACAAAAAATAAGATATACACCTCACTTATCAATGAGTATCATGATTATTAAAATAAAAAATGACACTATTAAAATAACATTTAATAATATGATAATATTAATTTTTAAGTTGAGACTGGGTGTGTCAGTAGTTAGGCCGTCCTCCAGGGATACTCTGCATGCCTGGTCACTCTCGATGGTTGATTCTTCAAGCTTTTCTGCCTACCGGAAGATATCACAAATCACTGTGATTCTCTATGGGCACCTGTAGAACTGTCTCCTATAACTATATGGCTGACGTGATGTCAACAAGGAATTCTGAAGTCCGCGGTGACAGAACAATCATCGGGAGGTCCTTGAAATCCTAAAGCTCTTCTTTCCTAAATGCTTTAAAAAATAATTCATTGGTCATAACAAAAGTATAAATTGATAAAAATAAGAATAAATTATAGTTTTGTACGGACGTGAGGTCTCAAAGAACTCAGTACACTAATCAACAAATCTATCACTACAAAAAAACGACAAACTTTATAAAAAAAGAGTTATTGGCTTTCTTTAACCCACATAATATCATTCTCGTGTGTTTCATATGTGAATTACCAGAAAGACCATCTAAAAGTACCTCAAAAACCGTTTTATCGAAAAGAAAATAGATACTTGGTTACCCTCATTAGCATTTCAAATGTGATACCAATCATACAACGACTAACAAACCATCTAGAAGAACCCACAATGTCACTCGTCTCATCATGGACCTCACAAACCCACAGAAAAATGAAAATGAAAAAGAAAAAAAAACAATTACAAACAACTTAAAAAATATAAAATCAAAAATATCAATCATGAACTGTATGATATGAAAGAACATAAAATAATATTAATAACACAAGGAACAATAAATAAACATGAGATGTATAAAATATATAAGGATCATCTAATCAACATCCAAAAATGGCGTCTGTAATTCTTTCTCTCAATTCAACCATTTTTGAGGCACTATCGCCATCCTAGGTGTAACATTCCTATCAATCCACTTATGGTTGTGGTATAGATTATCCTATGTGATATTTAGATGCTTCTGGCCGGACCTGTAAATGATTGTCAGCCATGCTGAAGTCTACATCAGTTCGAGAATGATGTCATCTAATTTAGTGGTGCAAGACCATTATAGCAACTACATTCTGCACCTTCTTTGGAAATGAATATGTCGACATATCACGCAATATGACTCATTTTTTCTTCCACACTTCAAATATTCTTTCAATTATGCCACGTAAGGAGGGATGTCTTTCATTAAACATTTCTTTTCTGCCCCAACCAATACCGTTGGATCTTTTAAAATCAGGAATGTGTTATTTCTTGTCTGAAAATGACTTTAGATACCCTATTTGTAAGGGATATCCAACATCAACCAAAAATATTTTTTTTGTCTCAAATACAAAAATTAATAATGAATTTTAAAATAAAATAATAGAATTATTATTTGAACAAACCTGGAGGTGGGTGAGGGAACTTATGTTATGATTTCTTGTCACAAAAAGCGAAAATACGATTGTCATGTGCACTACATTCCCAACCAAACATCATAAAACTAAACATATGTTGAAGTCACATACGACTATCACATTTTGCGTGGGTTATCCACACTGACCAATGTATGTGGTCTTTTCATTATTAGATACGCGTGGATCCACATGGGTTCCATCAATCTCTCCAATATAGTTCTGACAAATTAAACAAAGTTGTGATAAACATGATACTCATTTTGACTTCTAAATATAATGAGTTAAAAAGATTTATCTTAAAAAATGGTGTATATCATGGGTTTTTTACAATCATTATTGGAGTTTTCTCGAATTGTTGGATCCACTAGCTTAATAATTTATGCAGACAAACTACAAGAGCTTTCACCACTCAGAAAATATTTGTTGATTATCTCCGATGAATTGTGAAATCGCTCTATCGCTCCTCTCATTGATTTATTCTATGATAAAATATAGAGGGTTATTGCTAACACCTCTTTTAAAGTCATTCTGGATGATTGGAGTCCAGGATAGTTATGTAATTCATCAAGCAGATCTATAAATATAGGTTGTGTCATATGAAATGTGTTCTTGAATCTTGTGGGTGTCCTTTATCTCCAATAAAAGTGGATGTCATGCAAGGAGTTCGATCGACGTAGGAGTTATAGTATTAGTGCAACATATATATCGTTGTCACAATTTTTCTTCTTTGTCTCTCACTTCGTGAATATATGTTGAACAAGTGTTCTGTTCAGATAATATATGTAAATCAGACAAGATTAAAAAATATCTAAAATCGAAAGACAAAGTGTATAATGAGAAGACATAAATACATAATCACATATAGATTGTTCGTACGAGAAAGAAAAAATAATTAAAATCAGATATCCAATGAAACAATGGAAAAAAAAATAGCCGCATAATCAAGTATCCTTGCTGTAAAAAAAAAAAACATAATTAGTTTATCTTACAACCATGAGGCATCTTCATGAAGATCTGTCTACGAGTCGGGTTCTCCAGCACCTTCAAGGAGTTTAGATATAACAATGTATCCCCATAAACTTTGGGAGTTGCCTCCATAACTTGGAGAAAGTCATCTACGGAGGTGTCACGTGAAGTTCTAGGCTCTCTTGTGCATGCATGCGTCAGTATTGTAATTTGGCTTATAATAAATGCAGCTTCTTTTTTCTTTTACACTATTCGAGGACGCTTTGACTTGCATGTGGACTCCAATTTGTTTGAGTTGGGCTTGGGCCTTCACTGAAGCCAAACAGGGCAATTACCTGTTTGGCTTCCAACTCCTCCAATATGCTAGCAAACTGATGCTCACTTGGAGTGAAGGAATGAGTGTCTGTTGCCGCAAACCTATCGAACATACTGTCAAACTTCTCTTCTAACTTAGGGTCAATTCCACATAATTTAAATTTCTTGGCAGCCCACACTACCTGCAATGTGCGGTGGAGTTGATTACTTTAAACAATTTATTAAGAGAATGACCGTGATTCTGTGCTGATAATATAATTTTATGTGCTTATACTGACTGCTCCTAGTGATGTAGGTATTACTAATTTTAAAATATTTTTTTTTATTATTGTTTTCAAAAATTCACTAGGACAAACATGCAAGTGCATATATCGTTCAAGTAATATAGGACTTTCTTTAGTCTAAAGTATCTTTAAGTTACCAAGATCTTTAAGTTTTTTAGGAAGTTTTTTTGAATTATTGCATTGCATTATTCACTAAGTCCAATGGTCTCGTGATCTCCAAACTTCCTTTTCTTATTTAAGATTACAGTCATAAACTTAACATTACTGGGCATTTGCTCCATCGCTTCAGTAAAATGAATGTTGAGTGTAAGCTTCTTCTCTAAAAATTTTGAAAATTATTGATCCAGCTTATACTGTCTAAGTTTCTAAGGAAATGGAGGTGGTGGTTTCTCTAAATTTATGCTAATTGAAGATATAGGTTTTTCGATAACCTTAAGAACATTTTATTCATGTTTTTTAGTTTCCTCAGTCTCTTTCTCAACTTCAGCCTCTTTTTGAATTCCAACAGTTAATTCCCTTTAACTTCTGAGTTGATAGCTTTAACTTGCTCTTTATTTTTATCTTTAGGATTAATTTCAGTGTACTAGGAAAAGTTTCCTAAGGTCTATTGCTAAGTGAGTTAGCAATTTATCCCAGTTGATTCTCAATATTTCTAATTGCATCACTCTGACTTTACACTTGATTCCCCATCTATAAAACCACTTCTTCCATAGAAAATTTCTTCTCCCTAAATTGTTTGTTATTATTAAAGCCAGGAGGATTAGAAGGTCTATAGTTAGTACTACTTTGGTTGTTCCATTTTCCTAATGGTTTCTCTTGATTGTTTCCCTATTGCTGGTTTCCACCACAAAAATTATTATTTCAGTTAAAGTTAAGGTGGTTCTTCCAACATGGGTTATAATAGTTAGAATATGTGTTATTGGGTCAATTATTAATTGCATGTAAAGTCTCATATGAAAGTGAT